GCGCAGGCGCGCGTCGAGGCGGGGCTGGAGCCCCGGGGGGCGGCCGTCGACCAAAGCCTCGCGGCCGAGAAGGCGCGCCGGCATCTGCTCGCAACGCGTGCGGAAGCCTTGCTCGCCTACGCTCAGGTGCAGCTGGCTTTGGGGGCGTGGCAGCCTGAACTCTGAAGGCTGGCGCCCCCGGTCGGGCCAGCCCGGGGTGTCGCCATCAGGAGGAGTCAGTCTCGCGGGCCTCCGCGGCGAGCATGCCTTGAACGAGCGCCAGCAATCGCCGCGGGATGATGGGCTTGTGTCCCACCGGGATGCCCAGTGCTTGGGCGCGACTGGTGTTTTCGGGGGCGAGATCGCCGGTGATGAGCAAGGTGGGCAGCCGCTCGAAGCCCGGCCAGGCGCGGATGATCTGGGCCTGCTCCAGGCCGTCCAGCATCCCCAGGTGAAGGTCGGTGAGCAAGAGGTCCGGTGGGGTGTTGCCGCGCGGCTTCAGGCATTCGGCCAGGTCGGCCGCGCTGACCGCCGTCACGACCTCGAAGCCCCATTGCCGCAACAGGGCGGTCAGGGCCTGGCGGGATTCGGCGTCGTCCTCCAGCACGGCGACCGTCTGCCCGCGGCCGGGCAGCCCCGTCGCCCCGTCGGGTGCCTGCGGTGCGGTTTCGGCCTGGCCGCGTTCGAGCAGGACGGTCACGGTCGTGCCGGTATCCGGGGTCGATTGAAACTCGAGCGGGTGGCCGAGCAGTTCAGCCGCCCGCTTGACGACCGACAGGCCGATGCCGAGGCCCTCCTGCGCCTTGCCGGCTTCCAGTCGCACATAGTCCCCGAACACCTGAGGCAGTTCCTGTGCGTCGATGCCCGGCCCGGTGTCCTGGACGATGAGCCTGACGTGATGCGGTGCGACGTCGACCGCCTTGACGGTGACCTGCCCCCGCTGCGTGTACTTGACGGCGTTGCTCACCACGTTGAAGCAGATGCGTCGCAGCAGGTGGCGGTCGCTGATGACGCTGGCCGCCGTGTCCTCGACCACGAAGGCCAGGCCCTTGCGGCGGGCCACATCGCTGAACTGCAGGCGAACCTCATCGAGCAGCTCGCCCAGTGCCAGGGGGCCGACGTCCGGCTCGTAGCTGCCGCCCGCCAGCCGGGTCTGGTCCATCAGCTCGCCGAGCATGTCGGTCAAGGTGATGCTGTTGCGGCGGATGTCGCGCAGTCGCAGTCGCACCTCCTCCTGGTCTTGCGGGCCACCGCTGCGTGCGCCGGCAAGCATCGCCAGTTCGGCGGACAAGCCCAGCGCGTGGGCCGGCTGCCGCAGGTCATGGCAGGCCGCCGCCAGCAATCGGGCGCGCGTGCGGGCGAGGTCCTGAAGCTCGCTGTTGCTGGTCTGGAGCTGGGTCGAGAGTACCCGCAGTCGCCGCCGCTGACGCACGCGCAGCGCCATCACGGTCAGCGCCACGCAGCTGAGTGAGCCGATGATGCCCACGCTCCAGAGCAGCACGATCCTCTCGAACTGCAGCCGCTCGGCCAGCGTGGCCTCCTCGCGCCGGAACTGCGCTGGAATGACACCGATCAGGGCTTCTGCATGCAGATAGCCCTGGCTCGACAGGGCCTCGGTGATCTTGCCGATCTGCAGGTTCAGCGCATGCGCCTGCGTGAAGTCGCCCAGCAGCACGATCGTCTGGAGTCTCGTGTAGCGCTCGAACAAGCGCAGGCTCGACGCCGGCGCCTGCGGCAGCAGACGGTCGGCTTCATCCAGCAGGCCGAGGGAGGTCTGCACCATGTTGCGAACCGGATTGGCCAGCCGCCTCAAGGCCAGGGCCTTCCAGGTCAGCATCAGGCCGCGGTGCATGTCGTGGGTGGAACGGTCCAGCGCTTCGTCGAAGTGCCGCGTGGCCTGCGCGCCGTCACCCCTCACGAGAGCCAGTACGCCTTTGGCGTAGAAGTAGGTCCAGGCTTGGGCAGGGTCCTGCAGTGTGGGCAGCAACTGGCCCGCTTCGTCGAGCAGGCGCTCGGCGGTCGCGCGCCGCCCGAGCAGTGCATCGTCCATCGCGTGCAGGGCCATCAGCTCGATGGCCAGGTCACGCGGCTGGAGCCCTTGCGCCCGGACCTGCATCGTGGCGGCCTCGAGCCAGTCGCGCGCATCTTTCTGGGCGTCGCGGGACTGCACTTGCGCCGCCATCGACAGCTCGATGACGGCTTCCAGTTCCGCGCGGCCCCAGCGGCGTGACTCGCTGCCCTGCAGCCGGATCAGCGCGTCGCGCATGGCGTCTCGAGGGGTTTCGGACACCCGGTGGAGCAAGGCCGCGTGCCACGCGCGCCACTCGGGCATGTCGGCGGCGGCCCATGGGCTCGGAAGCAGCAGGGCGATGGCCAGCATCACCGGCCTCACCAGGGCATTCAGCGCAGCCCTCATGCTCGCACCTCGTGGCCCTGCGGCGGGGCCAGGCGTCTCTGTTGGAGCGCGGCCTGCACGCTGGCGCGCAGCTGGCGTGGCAGCAAGGGCTTGTAGTTGAGCAGCACGCCGGCGGACGAAGCCTGCCGGGCCACCTGCTCGTCCTGGTCACCGGTCAGCAAGACCACGGGCAAATCCGCCTCGCCCGACCAGGCGCGCACGGCAGCCGCTTCCTGCAGGCCGTTGGCAGCGCCGAGGTGGAGATCCGTGATCAGCAGGTCTGGCCGGGAGTGGCCGCTCGCCTGGGCGACGGCCGTCAGGCTGGTGGCGTCGGCCGCGGTGATGACCTGGTACCCCCAATGTTCCAGCAAGGCGCTCATGCCCTGGCGCGATTCGAGGTCGTCCTCGAGCACGGCGACGCAGGGCCGCCCGGTCGCGTTGCCCGGCTTTGCCGTGGACCTGGCAACTTGCGCTGCCGGCGCGGGTGCATGCTCCAGCGTCAGGCGCACCACATTGCCGCGGCCGGATTGGGAGGTCACTTCCACGGGGACCTCCAGCAGCTCTGCCGCGCGCTTGACGATGGAAACACCCAGCTCGAGCCCTTGGGCGGATGAAGTGACCAGCGAGAGGTCGGTGCCACGGTCCAGCATGCTGGACAGCACTTCCGGTGCCATGCCCGCACTGCTGTCCTGGACCTTGAGCTGGACCCGGCCTTGGCGGTCCAGATGGGCGCTCACCCGCACGACGCCGGCCTGGGTCGTGCGCAGGGCGGTGGCCACCAGGCTGAGGATGATTCGGCGCAACAGGTAGGGGTCGGTGCGCACGTGCAGGTCGCTCATCGCAATCTCCAGCGTGATGCCCCGCCGCCGGGCGAGCTCCTGCAGGTAGAGCCCTGCTTCATCGAACACCGGATGCAGCGCGACCGGCACCCGCTCCGGCACGTAGTGCCCGGATTCGATGCGGGTCAGGTCCAGCAGTTCGCTGAGCATGTCCGTCAGGCGCATGCTGCAAAAACGGATGCTGGCGAGATGCTCGTCGATGGCCTGGCTGTCGCGGGCCGCGCCGTCTGTCCGGTCGCGTTCCGCGCTGGCGGCGGCCGTGTCGGCCAGCAGGGCCAAGGCATGGGCCGGTTCGCGCAGGTCATGGCAGCTGGCAGCCAGCAGCCGGGTGTGAGAGCGGTGCAGGGCCTGGAGCTGGCTGTTGCGCAGTTCCAGCTCGGCGGACGCCTGAGCGAGGGTTCGACGCTGACGGCTCAGGACGACCACGGCCGTCATCGCACCGGCGGCGAGGATGGCCGCGGCCAGCAATCCCCAGGTGAGCAGGACCCGGCGTCGGCCCAGCTTCTCCGCCAGCGTGAAGTCCTGCCGGCGGAACTGCGACAGGATGCGGATCATCCCGGACTCGTTGTAGCTCAGGCCGTTCTCGTCCGCCACGCGGGCGGCCAACTTCAGGAAGAGCCGGCCATGGCGCGTGGCTTCATGCATCTCGCCCAGGACGGTCTCGGTCTGGGACAGGACGCTGATGTTCAGCATGCCGAGCAAGGGAAAGGCATCAGGCGGCACCAGCCGCTCCGCGTCGCGGCCTTTCAGCCACGACAGGCGAACCAGCTCGTGCTTGTAGTACGACGCCCGGCGGTAGACGCTGGCCTGCCACGCCTGGATCAAGCCGCGCGTCACGTCATGCACGGCGTATTCGTAGGCGTCGTCCAGATGGCGCAGGGCCTGTTCAGCGTCGTCCCGCAGCAGCATCTGCAGGGCGCGGGCGAGCTCCATCGACGCGCGATGCCCGGCATCCGCCACCTGGGGCATGAGCGCATCGGCACGGCTCAGCGCCCGTTGAGCGTCGTCGAGCCGGTAGGCCGCGGTCAGGATCAGGGCCTGGTTGGTGTACAGGTCCACCAGCAGCTCGCGGTGCGTCGCCTGCTGCATGTCGGCGGCCCCGATGGACTTGGGGATGGCCGCGAGCACCTCGTCTCCTTGCGCGGGGCCCAGCCACACGGCCGCACTGGCGGCGTCGAGCAAGGCGGTGAGCTGCTCTTCGGTGGCGCCACGGCGTTTGGCCTGCTCGTGCCGGGCAAGCGCTGCTTCGAACATGGCACGCGGGGCGGCAAGCGCTTGCTGCTGCCGCTGGAGGTCGGCCGCACGCCACTGGAAGTTCACCTCTTGGGCCTGTGCGCCCCAGACGGCCCACAGCAGGGCCATCGCGCACAGGCGCGACCCCCACGCAGCCCAGAGTTCAGCCATGTCGCCCCCGTTCACCCCGTGCAGGTTGATTTTTATCCGCCCGTTCGTTTCTGGCTTGCCTGAGATCCCCCGTCTTTGTGGGAAGGGCGACACAGGCGGGCCGAATCTGTTGCACCCGCCCGGCTCCTGGTCTGCGTGGATGGACGGTCGGGAAAGGGGCCGCTAGCGTTGTGGCCCTGTGCACGCATAAAGGTGACCCATGCTTGGTGCCCGGTGGTGGCTGGCGGGGCTGATGCTCGTCATGTGGGCGGTGCAGGCCGCCGCGGCCGACCCGGACTGGGGGGCCTGGATGCGCGAACGTCGCGAGGCCGCCTACCGTGAC